CATACTATATATTGACTCCTTACTACATATGCTGTCCAAAAGATGCAAAGCGTCCATCTTAAATATGGATGCAAGTAGGCGCTCTATAAAAAAACAATGGAAACTAACGGTCCAAATGTTTTCTTACTAAAATTATTGTATTTAATTTTAAAAATTTATTTATTTATTCATATTCATGATCTCCATGTTAGAAATTACATGTCCTTAAAAATTAAGTCCCCAAATCCATCAAAAATAGATTTATCAAGAGGCCCACATGTTTACATATGCAGGCTTGGCCACATAGAAACCAGGTCCTTGTGTAGTTGCGTAAAAATAGTTATTTGAAGGGCTTTTCTTATTTAATTTTTTGGGATCCAATTAAGAATAATTATGATTATTTTCAAATTTTTTAAAAAATAATTTTAAATTCTTTAACACCTAGATCTTGCCAACTGAAAATTGAACATTCATTTTTCATTCTTAGGATGCTATTTTTTTTAAATACATAGAACACGCTATTTGAAAATTTTCTTTATTGAGGTTGATCAATACACTTAAGAGGTTACATCACTAAAATTTGGGATATTAAAAATATTCGTACCTTGAAATTTATTCGAGGGAGGAAATGGGCAATTGTTCCCTTAGAGGGCAGGATATCTTTTGGCTGTATTGAGTCGAATGATCATGCTAAAAGATATTCTACCCTCACAAGAGTAGAATGTTTATTTACTCCCTACGGTAAAAACCCACCAACAACTATTTTTATCACTCTAAATTTTGAGGATATAACCTCTTCAACCCATAATTTAACTTTAATAGAAAAATAATTTCTTAAATGGTGAGTTCTAAGTGTTAGAAAACTCAAATTTTAATTTTTTTTTTGAGAAAATCGTCTAGTAATTCTTAAATGGTCCCCAAATTTTCAAATTTAAAAAATCCTACCACACAAATCTTCTGAGGGAGTAGAAGAAAATTTGGCTTCCGAGGGAACATAGTGTACATGCTAATGATCATTATAGAAGGCAAGCCTTCGCTCCATTTTTTTTTTTTTTGGTTCATTTTCCTATTGCAGTGTTTAGTAATGCAGACTCATGCTCGGGCTCAAGGATCCAAAGTCCTAGTTAGTTAGAGAATAGTCGACTATTGGACCGGAGGCCGATTTTCCTATTAAATTTATCAGGAACCTCGGCGCACGAGGTTCATTTGTTTTCATATGACTCCCTCCATAATTGTTTGAATCCTGATCCTGAGCCAACTCAAGCGATTTAGAATCAGCTCCATGATTTCAAATTACTGTTTTATAGAAATCCTTTCACATGACATTTGTTGTAATTTCTCATAGAATGAGTGTAGCTAAGATAAAGATGTTTAGATGGATGAGTGACATGACAAGTAGGGATAGAATCTGAAACGAGTACATTCAAAAGAATTAAAGTGTGATACTAATAGTCGATTAGATGAGAGAAACTAAACTTGGTGGGCTAACCATGTGTAGCAAACCCAGTACATCACTTGTTAGGAGGTGCAAGTTAATTCAAGTAGAAATGATAAGTTCAAAAAGACAAAGGGTAAGCCAAAAAGACATGATTAAAAGTAGTCGAAAAAGATATAGAAATTTATGGCTTCACTCAAGATATGACTCTTCATAAAGCATAATGACATACCAAATTTCTTGTAGCTGGTGATCCCAGCTAGTTAGAAAATAAAATACAACGTTGACATTTGTTGTACTTTGATTACATTATGGTCTCCTTACTTTGCACTTGCTACTAAATGCCTATGTAAATTTGCAAGTTTTGTAGTTAAAATAGATTTTTCATATCGAATGTTAACTTGGGGCTGTGGTAGGAATTGAACGCTCGAGGTCACAATGTGGCGCCCACCACCTTGACTGCCTAAGCCCATTCACCATTCCTACTTGGCATAAATTACATTTTACATCTTTCTCATGCACACGTAAAAACCAAAATATCCTCCTAGCCAAAAGATTTTTATTGTTCTTTTATTCAATCTAAGAGTAATTCTAAGACCCAAAATTTTGGGATATATAAGCTTTTCAACCCATATATATTGATCTTAATAAGAAAAAAGGGGGAGGTTTTATTAGGTTTTTACCTTATACTATATAAGTAGAGCACCTCTACATTTTGTCAAAAGGTGTAGTTCAGGTGTTAGAAACCTTATGACAGTTTCAAAGTCTATGTTCAGCATTAATTATGGAACTTTTCAAAACGGTGCAAATCGAGCATATTTATTAACACTTGAAAATCATCATCATCATCTGAGACTTATCCTAACTATTTGGGATCGGCTATATGAATCATGTTATGTCGATCTGCTCTATCAAGGGCCATAACCTCAATTAGACTATAAGTCACTATATCTCTTCTCACTACTTTTACACATGTTTTTTTAGACTATTCATTTACCCTTTTAAAAGTGTTCTACTTGAACCAAATCGCTCTTTATAACTGGTGTTGTATTAGGTCTATGGTGCACATGACTAACCCACCTAAATCTACATTCTCTCACCTTATTGCCTATTGGAGCAATTATTAAATTATGTTGCATGTATCAATATTCATAAAATGATGTGATAAAGTTTTTCACTAATTGCCCTACTTGATACAACCTTCCTCTTTTATTAAAGCTTGGGACCGACATGACTAGTCATGAAAAGTTACTTGAAAATAAGAAACCCAAAGAGCTTGTTATAAGATGTACTATTTTTAAGACTCAAATTTTTTATTTTTTATTTTCATATCCATACATTTCGATGTTAAGATGATCAAATTGGAAGTTTTCAAACTACGAAACACTCTTTTGTATAGGATTTTTGAGTTGCACCTTACTTCCATAATATAAGATTACAACTTTATATAAACTTTTTCCAAAGAAATGAAGAACTCCAAATCACATTATCTATGCACTTGAAAAAAAACCTAATATCTCAAGATTCAACATGACTGTTCAATTCTTTGAGATGAGATCTGTTAGAAAACTTAAAAAAAAATTTGTGTTTTTTTTTTAAAATGTCTTCTACCAATCTATTCAAAGTAGGGAAATTTATCAAAATACAAGAACTATTTAACAATTTGCGCCATTTACGGCTATTCCAATTTAAGCCCATGTGTTTTTTTTATGTATTTTGAAATTAAATCAGAAGTTATGGATGAAGTGTTAAATTGTCCATTTGTTATGGGTACTGTGCTAAATTTCCAATATTAAAAAAAAAAAAATCTCCCTAGGTAACTCATCTGCCTGAGGCCGGAGCGAGTAGGTGTATGGAATGTCCCAAGGGAGCATAGACACGCTATGTCAAAAACTTTCATGCTCTGAGGGAGCATACTGTCCATTTACTCTCGTAGACAAGATCTAATCTAGAAGTATTTTTAGTACCCAAAATTTGAGTATGTAACTTATTCAACCCATATGCTATACTCTATAAAAAAACAATTTTAAAATTGTACTCTCCATGAGCTTCAAAAACATAGTGACTCGAGAATGAATAGATATTGTCAAGGTGATATCTAAGTGTTAGAAAACTTAAAATTTAAAATTTCTCTTTCGAGTATAATCATCTAGTGATTTTTAAGTAGTCCAAAAATTTCTAACAGAAAAATATGATCCCATCTTCTCCTCGGGGGAGTAAGTGTACAATAATGCTCCCACAGGAGCATAATATACACACTCAATATAACCAAGTGCTCTCTAAATTAAATAATCGATCTTTCTACTTTCCCTCTCTACAAATGGGCTAGATCACTCTCTCTCCTCTAGAATTAATGTAATAATAGTTTTGGAAACGCTGCCATAAACCTCTCAACAAAATCCACAAGTAACATAAAAAAACAAAAAAAAAATGTTTAGAGCCGAGGCTCTAAACAATCAAATTAAAGCCTCCCTCAAAAATTTCACTAGAAGAGGTTGTTTTGATGCCCAAGTATCCTCAAACTCATCATGTCGACATCAAGATGCATGAACATGAAAAAACAATAGATCAAGTTTTGGAAATAGTGTATTTTGTAATACATTTTTGGACCGTCAATTTCAAGATTTTCAAATTTTCATAGATCTATCGATCTACACTATTTTTGAAGCTTTAAACTTTATAAATAAAGATGAAAATATATTTTAAGGCTATCACAATTATTTTCAGTATTGAAACCACATTTCTCGATATTATTTGAAGGTAGGCTCTAATCTAATTTGACTGTTTAGCATCTAGGCTCTATATAAGCCGCACCTTAAAAAAATAAAGGTGCGGTCTGCCTAAGGTTGCACCTTTAAAAAACATATTAAGACGCATCTCTAAACTTTGTCATGAGATATAATTTAGGTGCACAAAATATTTGGGATGGGGCACATATCTATATTTATCTCTAATTAAAGAATTTAAGTTAAAAAATAATACAAAAAAGTATGTCAATAAATGCATAAATATCTTAAAAATAGAATATTCAGATAATATGTTATAAGATGTAATAGTTTTAAGACTTGAAATCTCTTTTCTTCTCCATGTCTATCCATCTCGATGTCAAGATGATCATCAAAATAATAGTTTTTGATAGATTTTAGAAGTGCACCTTAATTTTATATTTTAAAGTGTCAACGATAAATTTATTTTTTTAAAAAAAATCAATCAAAGAAAGAGTAAATAAAATTTCTCTCCCTAGGACAAATAGTCTTCACGAATTGGCTTTCAATAGCCTTCATGAATTGGCTTTCTCTTTCCACAAGAATTAATTAAATATTGAATACATTTCCCAAACCAACCCAAATAAAAGGAAAAGTAAATCTCTCAAAAAAGATTATTTGACCTCTTTCCCCCGCCTATCTCTCTCTCTCTCTCTACACGCACGGAACGCGGCCTGCAACTGCCACAAAAATCCACCGCCTACAACAAAGCTCTCTCTCTCTCTCTCTCTCTACGTCGCGCCTCCCCTCTCTCTCTCTCTCTCTCTTCTCTCTCTCTACGTCGTCGCGTCCTCCCTCTCTCTCTCTCCTCTCTTCTTCTCTCTCTCTAGTCAGACCACCCCATCTCTCTCTTTCTCTCTCTAGTCGGCCCCCCTATCTCTCTCTCTCCACCCTGTACCCAACCACCATCCATAAAACCCCGCTTAAAATCCCAAGGCCCCGAGTAGTTCTAGCGCCCTTTCGATCCGACAAATCCTCCTTCCAAACCAAAAACCTCTTTTTCTCTCTCTACACAGGTACTCTCTCTCTCTATCTCTTCCTCTCTCTATCTATCTCTCTCTAAAAGTCTTCCCCTTGTTTTTAAACTGGTAAAAGGGAAAAAATAGTACTAATGGCCGTTATCCATCGACGCACAGTCTGGAAGGTGATGGACCTCCCCCAACCCCTTTGAAGGCCTCTTGCTAGAAGGGGTTGTGGAATTTTTTTTTTCTTTTTCCCAAAACAAGACAATGCTGGCTGTTGGATTTTGATTAGGATCAATTGGTGGGGTTTTGGTTTTTTTTCTAGAGAGAGTGAGATCTTTTAGAGGAAAAAGGGGTGGGGTCTTTGTTTTGCAAGGTTTCTGAAACTTGGGTTTTGTGAAAGGAATCGAATTTGTTACCTTGTGCAGTTTTCGGGGTGTTTTGAGGTTGGGTGTTGATTGACTGATCTCTTTTGGTTGGTCTTTTCTTTATATCAGAGGTAGGGTTGCAAGGTTTCTGAATTTTGGGTTTGAGCTAATTCATCCCAGTAAGAGAGCAGAGAAGCAAAAGAGAAGATAATCGAGGAATGCTGATTAATTAGAGTTTTCTATAATTTCAGGATTTGGGTTTTCAAGAGGAGAGCTGGTTGAATGGCGCTTCTTTAGTTTGCTTTCTGAATTTCAATTTTCAAGAGAGCTCCTGATTTGTTCTGGTTCAAGTATTCATGAAACAAATTCTTGTTACCATTAATTCTAAGAAGAACTAAGAGTTTGGATATTTCAGAGTGTGAAGAGAATGTTGATCGAGAAGTATATTGGAATGCGTGACATGGGTTTCAAAGAACAATGCAGGTTAATCGAGGCCATGAGATTTTCAAAATTGAATTGGTAGATATTGTAGAGGATTTTGGATTTAAGACTCTGGACTGGGCTGATCAAGATCCTCAGACTTTGTCAGTAGAAAATAAGAGAGACTGAGAGAGAATCAGCGTTGAAATCCTTTCTGAATTTAAGTAGGGATGTGGCTTCTATCTTTGCCTACATGCATCGTGCATTGTCGATAGGTCAATATAATAGCGGGATTCTAACAAGAACCTGCACGTTTAAAGGGTGTGTGGAAGATTATGGGCTGTATTTGCTCAAAAGCCTCAACCACGGATGATTATATCGAGAACCGAACTGAGAAAAACTCAAGCAAATCCACTGCAAGGCGCTCATCCACCCCATCAAAGAGAGAGGAAGTAATTGTGGTTGATGATGGTGGTACTGAGAGAGAAAGTAGGGTGAGATTGATTTCAAAACCTGAACCAGTGGTTGTCACCCCTTTGTCTTCTGAGGATGGGGAGAAGAGGGTGGTTGAGGTTCCCCAAAAAGTTCATCAGAGGAGAGCGACTGTTGACTATGGTGTGAATGAAAATCATGAATTAAGGATCACGAATTTGCCTAATCATATCGAGGGGGAGCAAGTTGCTGCAGGATGGCCTTCATGGCTCACGGCGGTGGCAGGGGAAGCAATCAAGGGATGGATACCTCGTCGGGCTGATTCATTTGAGAAACTTCACAAAGTATGTGCCATCTGTATGGTCTTCTTAGTTAAATTATGATTTTCTTTTTCTTTTTTTTTACTTTATATTTATCCAACTTGCCTATTGTCTAGAGACTAGACAATTGTAGTTCGAGGAAGTTCATGAATTCGTTTTGGTTTCTTTTCCTTCATTTGTGTCTCTTTTTCGTTGGTATTTTGATATTTTCACAAATTGCTTAGACAATTTGCAACAATAATGAATGGTAATCTACAATATGAGAGCATTTTCAATAAGTAGTTTTCATGATTAAATAGCTAAGTAGTGCAATCACAATGCTATTCACTTGTGTAAAGTTGTCTGATGCATGTGGGACACATATAAGTTTAACATGTCAATAAACAGCGCCACTTGGAAGACATACACTGAAATTGAAATATGATAAAATAAACTTTTGTTGCTTGTGAGTTGATAGATTTCTTTCTCATTCAGCTACTATTGTTTATCTGAGTATTAGCCTTTGTCTTACTGGTCCGGGGAAAACTGCAGCCCACACTTTAATTCTATCTTTGCTCACCAAGAAAGTTGTTTTTAAGTGAAGTTTGCATGGTCAATTATTAAGAAAGCTGCATTCTTTGCATTGAGGACCAGATTTATAACAACATTTATTAATTTAATGATCAAAATTGTTTCCTATTCTTCTCAGAGCAACCAGATACAAAGCATTTGCATGTGGTAACTCTAAGAGTCAGGGGTGGTGTTTCCCATAGATAGACCTTTTGCTTGCGAGGGTATCTATGTTTCTGTTATTGTCGTTAAGCACACGATGAAGGGCGATGCTATGAGGCACTAACCTCAAAATTCTTCTTGAAGGTTTTTGCATGAATTCAACATTTTTATAGCTACAAGAAATTAACAAAATAAACTTGAAATTACTGTATATAAGTTCTCATCATTTGTGTAGATTGTATCACTACTTTTTGGCTTTTTTTCATAATCAGGAATACTTTCTAACTACTAAAGTAAGATGCGCTCTATTTTCTCACTGGATTATATACTAATGAAACTCATTCATACATATGACCCATACCATAAAAACAAAGGATATGTCCAGATATGGGGCTTTCTGACTCCATTTTGGTTGCCTTGAATGGGTTTCGATGATACACATTGTGCTCGAATAATCCAAACATGCTTGCCAACTTAGAATGTGTACAAAATGTTTGCTTATATATGGTACACACATATTTGCAGATTGGCCAAGGAACGTACAGCAATGTCTATAAAGCCCGTGATCTTGAAACTGGGAAAATTGTCGCCCTGAAGAAAGTGAGATTTGTCAACTTAGACCCTGAAAGTGTCCGTTTCATGGCAAGAGAAATTCATATACTTCGAAGGCTCGATCACCCAAATGTGGTGAAGCTTGAAGGACTAGTTACATCAAGGATGTCTTGTAGTTTGTACCTTGTGCTTGAATATATGGAGCATGATCTTGCTGGGCTTGCAGCTAATCCTGGTCTGAAGTTCACTGAGTCACAGGTAGTTGCTTTAAAGTCTAAGGGAAAGTATACTATATAGTCCAATGGGCTATGGAAAATGATAGTTCATTGGGTCATCGCAGTCTCATGAAATGATGGATGGTTACTAGGGGAGGGGGACTTACCACTGGAGTCCTGTCCTGTTTGGAGAGGTCCCACTTCCTCACTGTCCATCGTTTGATAGAATATTGATGACCCAAATAGCCAAATGGGACTATGGTCTTCACAGCCCTCTGAGTCATAGTTTGCTTAAAAATTTGTCCTCAGGTGATCATCTGTTTTTAGGTTTTTCTCAATAAAAGAGTGTCACAAGATTCGATTGTTTGGCAAATTTGTATCTATGAATTCTGCCTAAAGGTCATACCTTAATCTTGCCAGGTTAATGATGTTTTCCTGAGGAAAATATTAGCAACATTAAACCTCTCTTGTAGCAAGGTTCATTTAGAGTTAACAATTTCAAAGCTTATGTCCAATGACAGGAGCCTTATTTTATAAATTCATGATTGATTTTTCCTTTTCTTTTATTTTTTATTATTTTGAAATTTAGATTCATGAGTGATTTTAGGATATTGGTTTTGGCAGATTAAATGTTATATGCAACAATTGCTACATGGGCTCGAACACTGCCATAGTCGAGGTGTTCTTCACCGAGACATCAAGGGATCTAATCTCCTAATTGACAACAATGGAATTCTAAGGATAGCTGACTTTGGTTTGGCAACAATCTTCCATCCTGACCAGAAACAACCAATGACAAGTCGGGTGGTAACATTGTGGTATCGACCACCCGAGCTTTTACTTGGTGCTACGGAGTATGGGGTTGCTGTGGACCTGTGGAGCACTGGCTGCATCCTTGCTGAATTGCTGGCTGGCAAGCCCATCATGCCAGGAAGAACAGAGGTAACTCTGCTATGTTAAAATGGAGAGAGAGAGAGAGAGAGAG